CTGACATGCGTGCGGCCTGGGTTCGAGCCTCAGCACCACATACCAACAAAGATGTTGTGTCTGCCGAGAACTAAAATAAATAAATATTTAGAAAAAAAAAAAAAGAAAAAAAAACTTTATTCATTTATCTTTATGTGGTGCTTAGGATCAAACCCAGCTAGGCAAGCGTTCTATCACTGAGCTACAACCCCAGCCTTCAGCTGACTCATAACAATAGATAAGAACAAAGTCAATTTGACCAGCTAAAACAGTTATAACAAAAGCACAGCCATATCCAGGCATTTAAAAGGAAAGACAATAGTTATTTTAACCTAAGATGTACATTTGTGTTAGCCCCACCAAGAGTAAGTAAGACTGGAGGCTACAAAAGAGGGATTCTTAGACAGGAGTACCTAATAATTATCAAAAGAGATTATCAGAGTCGGAAGTTTTTTAGTCAATAGTCAATTTAAGGGCAGGGGTTGTGAGTCAATGGTAGGGCACTTGCCTAGCATGTGTGAAGCACTTGGTTTGATTCTCAGCACCACATTAAAAAAAAAACAAACAACATAAAGGCATTGTGTCCATCTACAACTAAAAATATTTTTTAAAAAATTAGTCAATTTAAGGCTACAAATCTTTCTAACTTTCTACACAAGTAAGCCTGATCTGTTTGCTAGTATGATTATCTAGCCTTAAGTGACAGAAATAACTGGATCTCTACTAAACATAAAAATCAGAAAACTACATAATTAGAAAACTACATCTTATGGGGCATCCATGACATTATAAAAACTAAGTGTTGAGTTTCCATTCTTTAACTCTGGCAATGTAACTAATATCCTTAAAGATTTACATTCCCAAATAGAGGTCATGTCCCTCACTGGCCTTGTTATAAGATCAACTTCTTAGATCTTACACCTCCTGGTGAGAGATTACTGATTTCTATCAGCATTATGATATTCATTGACATCTTCCAGAGGCTGTGACATTTTTTTCGTATTAATCTTATTCCAGTACTCATCTTTTTCTCACAGAAGCATCTACCTCTCCATGACTTTAAAATCTGTTGCTTYGGGCTGGGGATGTGGCTCAAGCGGTAGCGCGCCCGCCTGGCATGCGTGCAGCCCGGGTTCGATCCTCAGCACCACATACAAAGATGTTGTGTCCGCCGAAAACTACAAAATAAATATTTTAAAATTCAAATAAATAAATAAATAAATAAATAAAATCTGTTGCTTCCGAAACCCCCATCACCCCTCTCAGCCTGCAGCAGTCAGAGCAGTCATCAACCATTTCCCCTTATTGCAGAAAGGGCTCCATTCTCAGAGGGGGGATTGGTTGAAGGGGGGAAGCAAAAGAACAGGCAGTGCAGGTGATAAATGATTGGGTTGGGAAAATGGGGGCTCATTCAAGAGGAAATAAAATACTAATACCTACCTTTCCTCCAACCTATTGCCAAGGATCCTCCCTGCAAAGAGCTGTCAATGAATGCTTCCCACCCTGCGACATCCCGCTTCCTGCCTGTACCCCTGGAAGGCTCCTTTCCCAAATTCTGGCCATATAGGCAAGATAAGGGGAGGAAGGGGGGTATGAGAAGGAAACCTGGAATGTGTAAAAGGGCAGCACACTGCCACTCTCTTGGACACTGTTAGATATGGAAAATCAAAACCCGAAGATTGTGTGGCCTGGGAAAGGGGAGTGGAAAAAAAAGCCATACATTTATAGCTTGAATCTCTTCCAAGATAAATCCTCTCCAGGTGCTGGCCACTGACCCAATCCCCATTGCAAAAACCCAAATTCTTGAGTGCCCAAACTGACACTCTCATTAAATCACCTCTATAAGCCTATATAAGCCCAAACTCCTCCTTTGGTCAGTGGCTCATTTTTCCACCAGGAAAGTGGGTCCCTCAGAGACCCTGTTGCCCATTCCTACATAGCCTATTCCTGCATGAAACTTTGTTCTTGAATAAAAGGCTGAGATGATCCCTTAAGTTTGCTTCCGGCCTGGTCTTTTTGTGCTAACAGGCACCAACTTGGACCCCCACCTCTGCAGAGAAGCCCCTGTCCCTCTCTCTCTGTTCTATCCTTTAAATAAAACTTTTTGTGCTTGCCTTGGAGTTTCTTGGGTGTTCAATCTTCAACACTGGGGGAACAGGATTCAAACTTGATTCTCAACACAGGTATCACTAAATGTGATTTATTACCAACTTTGTTGTTACAGATGGGAGTGGAGGAATGCTTGCATCTTTTGCAAATTATCACTTGTAATCCTGTAGTTGTGGATGGTGCTGGATGAGGCAGGAAGTGGGTAGGTTTGGGGTTGGATGGAGTTGAAGGGAGCTGAGTACACATGTGACCCTAAGTGGGGTCAGGAGAGGCTGATGCAGTCCATATGAATGGAGAAGTAGCTCTATACATGTTTTCCAAAATAAAAGCTCAAGGAGGAAAATCTAGGGAAATTACTGCTCTCGCATGTTCTTTAYCCCATCCTGCTAGATGTCCAAGGGTCAACATTTTAAAAATGAAAAACCAATAAACCAATATTAATTTTCTACCAGCTTTTAAAGGGTGGAGAATCCCCTACGAAGACAGGGTATATATTTGCACATGATTTGAAGGCTTGGGATGAAAAGCACAGCTTGGCCCCACAGTGCAGCAAGTTCAATGATTCAAATATYCTGGCAACCCCAATACCTGATGAGAGTGGCCGGAAGGTGGAAGATCTTCATGGGCATGAGGTCAACTATGTTTCAAACGATTGGTTCTTGAACCAGAAAGAGTGCACCAGAACAACTGGTATTTTATTTAGAAATCCACACTCCTTGAAGATGATGTGTTTTCTGCCCTCTGAAGATGATTATTTACACTGGGGCATGAGGCCTAGAAGCTCTTTCCAACTCTGCACACACACTGCCTCTTACAGAAGCATGGCTGCCATAGAGGATTCTAGCTCTAGAACAGCTCTTCTTGCCTATGCCCTTGTTGCCCTTGTTGTTTATACACACATATTTAACTACTTACATGKTACTTTTTACCACATGGCTAGGATTGGTTGTGAATTTTGTACCTTTTAATATGAGAAAAAATAAGTATTTTACAAGCACTGATGAGAAGCCAATATTAGAAAATAAAATTTGCCAGTCGCTTGAGGCAAGACAGATTTACACTCCGCCCTCTTCACCACCCTCAGGAGGAGCAGAGGTCTGTGATGGGGCTTCATCCCTGGGAGAAGAACAAAGCCAAGGTTGTTACTCTTGAAAGGAGCAATTAAGCTTTTCCTTACCTCTTCATTTGAGAATTTTATATCACCCCCAGTCACTTACCCAGCATCCTTATTGAAAATCTCATCCTCATCAGAGGAGTCCTTGTCATGTAGCTTCTGTGCCATGTTTTTCTTACGTGTGGCATTGAGAGGTCTGTACATATCCCTAAGCCAAAGTGGCCGCCTTAACCAGAAAAAGCCCTCCTGGAAAACAGAAAGGGGAACATTAATTCTGCTTCCCGCTGCCTTCCCTGGCCACAGCACTGGGTCCTCTTCAAATTTACCTGATTTTCACTTTCCGTTGAGCTTCTCCTACACAGAAACCCGAAAAAGCTCCTGGGGGGAAACACATGCACAAGACAATTAGTGATGGATGCCATTTTTCATGTCTTTTTGTAATGTGCACCTTTGGTCTTTTTAGGACAAAGCCAGTACCTTAGTTCATAAGCACAATGAGCAAAATCATGCTAGACCTGGGATCCTAAAAACAATTCCCTGCATGCTGGGCTACCAGAACTCTCTATGTATGTTCCCAAAGAGCCACATGAGCATAGGCAGGATTAGCAACTCTGCTTACCCTCTTGGCTAAGTACCTTGTACAGTACACAACCATACTGGGCTGTAGTGTTTTACTCTCTCCAGAGCCTTTCACATCAGTCCTCTTTGGACTTAAATCTCACATGTATCATCATTTTGGGGTGGGGAGCAGGGTGGCTCTTGAGGGAGAAGGTGATTCTATTTCCTAGCTGCTTTATCCTACAAGTTGAATTACATCAAAGTCCAATTAGTAAAGTTGTCTAGCTCACTGATTTCCATATTGCAGGCTGTCACTTATGATTGAGTTGTAAAATCAGTTTAGACATATACATAACAAAAAACAATAGGAAAAAAAAAACCTGTGCATTGTTTCAAACACTGCTGATGTTTACATTGAAATGTGTCTACTAATTCACAATATCAAATGTTGCTCACAGCCCAAGTGTGGGTATAATTAATGGAGAAGTACCTAGCTGGAAAGGAACCATTTTCTGACACTGTGACCACAGGGTAAGATATTTTCCCTTTCTTATTCTCCATTTCTTATTATAAAAAGAAGAGACAAACTACTCTTTCTAAGCTCCCTGTTAAAATTCTATGAAATCTAGGTAAAAGGAATAGAGAGTGGGGGTGAGAAGGTGACCAGTAAGGCAAGAAGGTAAAGTTTTCCTACCACCTGGAGAAAGGACTCATACATTCCACTTCTACTTCTGCCAGCCTGGAAGGGGAATAGCACAGCACACTAATGACCCAATGCCTTCCCTGTCCCTGAAAGCCTCAAAGAAGGGCTCCAGCTGAGTGTGATGCACGTGAACAGTGGGAGCAGGCACAGCCCAAACCTCTTGCCCTCCACTCTTCTTTCCTTAAGGACTGGTAACAGCAGATGCATCCCTGCTAGTGCCTTTGACCTCAGCAGGCCGGGGAACTAGTTTTCCTGGAGCCAGGGGAGACATGAGAGGAAGTATTCTTCCTGCCTTTAGCAGTTTCCTCACTGTTAAGATTGAAATAGATGAGTTCTAAAATTCTCATTTAGGGGCTGGGGTTGTGGCTCAGCGGTAGAGCGCTCGCCTAGCATGTGCGAGGCCCTGGGTTCGATCCTCAGCACCACATAAAAATAGAGATACTGTGTCCAACTAAAAAATAAATATTAAAAATAAAATAAAATTCTCATTTAAATACTGCCGGGTTCATATTTACCTTGAGGACTTTTCTTCATCATCTTGTGATGCTGTTTTATGGGAATAAATCTGTTTTGGAAGAAAATACAGTCATAAGTATCACAATGACCACTAATCTCCAAGTCTCTATTCATTCCTTTTATTTATTTTGTCTTATCTACCCAGTGAGATAATAACTTTTCTGAGGGCAGGAATTCTATCCTTTTAATGGTTCTCTGACTCTTCCATAGTACCTAGGCTTAGGGTCTTGCATGCAGCTGGCACTTAATATATTTTATTGACTGTTTTAGATAAAATTCAACAGATAATTCCTAATAAAAACAYTTAACAGTAGAAAAAGAAAGAACTACTTAACTTGATAAACATGTCTGCCAGAACTTTAAACAACAGTGTCGTTTTAAAATCAAGAATAAGAGTAGGATGCCTGTTATTGCTGCTGTTCAACCTCATTGAGGAGGTCTTAATCAATGTAGTATGAAAAATAAATGGGGGCATAAATGGGGAAAGGAACAGAAACTATATATCAAAATGGATTCTACTGTCATGTATAACTAAAAAGATCCAATTAAAAAAATCTATGTAGTGAAAATACTAAAATTCATCTGGGTGTGGTGRCACACACTTATATTCCCAGCAGTCCAAGATATTAAGGCAAGAAGATCAAGTTTAAGGCCAGCCTGGGTAACTTTGAAATACCCTGTCTTAAAATAAATGAAAAATATTTTTTAATTTTTTTTTTATTGTAGCTCAGTGGTAGAGCACTTGCCTACCATGCGTGAGGCACTTGGTTTACCGCGTAAAAATAAAATATGGAAGGAAATGCTTCCTTTTAAAAAATAAAAATAAAAAAAGACTGGGAGTGCAGCTCAGTGGTGGAGTGCCCCTGCGTTCAATCCCTAGCACCACAATCAATCAATCAATCAATCAATAAATAAATAAATGCCCTAGAATTCTTTTGAGGCACATTAAGAAGAAATGAATATGTGGCATGAGATTACATGTTCCCAGAATGTTGTAAAGATGTTAATTTGCAAATTCATTTTCAAATTCAATTTAGTCCTATTCAAATTCAAAGACAGTTTTTTTGTTTGTTTTTGTTTTTGTTTTGTTTTTCTTTTGGCAGAGAAAATATATAAGAATAGTAATGAAATGTACGAAATGATCGGGAGAGCAGGAGCTTGCCCTACCAAATATATAGCTTGAAATATGTTATAAAGCAACTGGAATTAAGTGGTGTGATGCTAGTACTGGTATAGAAAAAGACACCTGGATCAATGGGAAAAAAGAGTCCAGATAAAGATGGTATTTTACATAAGTGAAGAAAGAATCAACCATTAATTAAAATAGTTTTAAGGGCTGGGGTGRTGGCTCAGTGGTAGAGCACTTGCCTGGCATGTGTGAGGCACTGTGTTAGATTCTCAGCAACACATATAAACAAATAAATAAATAAAGGTCCATTGACAACCAAAAAAATATTAAGAATAAAATAAAATAGTTTTGAAACAACTGGGTATTCATGTAGGGGGGAAAATTCCCTATTCCAACCATACTAAAACAAAACACAAATTCCAGAAGGATTAAAAATATAAATAAAAATGCAATGTTAGAAAAGCACTAGAAGAAAGTATCTGAAATCACCTTTATTCCATGAGGTAACAGAGACCTCTCRGTATAACAATAGCTCATCCATGGCCACAAGGCAGTGCTGGTGACAGAGGTGGGTGGCTTGACTAGAAACACACCTACTCTTCACAGCCCTCCCCCTTGTCTTTTTTTCTTATGGATTTATTTTCTTAAGGACTAACATATTTAGTATAAAAAAAGTTTTATAAATCCATGTTAGTCCTTACAATGGTTTGCAATGGTTTTCTTTGTATTTCAACATTTCAAATATTTCCCAGTATTTTTGTCTCTTAAGGAGGGGAACAGGCTTTGTAATAGGAATTGGAATTTTGCTCTTGGTTAGCCACCGAGGTCAGTTGATCTCCTTCATTTGTAAAAGAGGGTTTATAATATTCTCCTACAGGATTTTTGTGAGGATTAAATAAAATAACATGTGGAAACTGTTTGTTCTATATGCTTCACATCCATACATACTATTTGCTAATGGGCATCAGAGATAGGATGGTCACATCTGCTAAAGACTGCTAAAGGTTTCTGCCTGTGCTATCAGACTTAGAAAGCTCTTTTCCATCAGGTTATAAAAAATATATATATTGCTTCTATTTTCTTCTACTACTATCATGATTTCTTTCTTTTTTTTAACATTTACTGAAATATGTTTAAGGAGAAAAGTAGGCATCTTTTATTACTTGCTCCTTCATTAGGCTTCTATTACTATTAATTCATTTTTCCCCAGTGATTTGAATTTTTTTATATTTATTTTTAAGGTGTAGATGAACAAAACACAATGCCTTTATTTTTATGTGGTGCTGAGGATCGAACTGGTCCTGTCTGTGCTAGCCCTGCTATCGCGCTCTACCGCTGAGCCACAATCCCAGCCCCCCAGTGATTTGAATATTAAAAATGACATTTAAAAAGTCTCAGGGGCTGAGAGTGTAGCTTAGTGGCAAAGCATACCCAAGGCCCTGGGTTTGATTCTTAACACATAACATGCATGCATATAAATATATGCAAACGTATTAGGATCACTTGAGTCTATTGCTTAGACTCTGTATGCTACTTCAGATACTGGATTACATGATTCCTCATTGTGGAATTGACATAATATCTCATCTCTTTTCTTTTGAACACCATATTGTCCACTATAGTAGTATCTACTACTACATCCTCCCTTGTCTTCCTAGAGCTCATCATCTAAGTGGGGAGAGGAAATAATAAAAATATAAATAAACACGAATATAAGATTGAATTGTACATACAAATTTGTTTTGGGACAGGGATAGACCCCAGGTGCATTTAATCACTGGCCATACTCCAAGCCCTTTTTATGTTTTATTTTGAGACATAGTCTCACTAAGTTGCTTAGGGCCTCACTAAATTAACTGAGGCAAGCTTTGAACTTGTGATCCTCCTGCCTTGGCCTCCTGAGTCACTGGATTATAGCCATGCCCCACGATACCCAGCTGTATAAACACATTTAAATCAGTATAAAATTTTACAGAAATTCCAAGAAAGGTCACATGCCACCCAGAGATGCAGATCATACCATCTGTGCAATGGCCAGTGATAATCTTCCCAGAGGCTTTTTGCAAACTGACCCCATGTGTAAGCACCCCTTAGGCTCAGAAATTTGACTTTGTCTTCACTGAGAGAGAACTTACTTCTTTTCTTCCGAGAAGTCTCACCTTATAGATGCTACAGGACTGACCCCAACACAGATTGCCAGAAAATGACCTGATAGTAAGAAATACTTCTGCTCCACAAACAGAACATCTGTCTACACCACAAGGGAATTGCTTCTCTGTAGAGAGGCCTCTGAGGCATACTTAAGCCCAACTGGAAAGCTACTTGGTGAGAATAGAATTAGAACAAAAGGGCTAAGGTRGATAGATCCATTCATCTCCTCTCCTGGCCAGGGGTTGTCCGGCCAGTGAAACTGACTCCACACCTGCCCAAAAATGCAAAATGTTAGGATGGGCACTACTCAAACCAGTTTCTTTTTTTTTTTTAATATTTTTTATTATTGATGGACTTTATTGTCTTTATTTTTATGTGGTGCTGAGGTTCGAACCCAGTGCCTCACGCATGCTAGGTGAAGACACTACCACTGAGCCACAACCCCAGCCCTCAAACCAGTTTCTTTCTTGTCTTTTCTGTGCTTTTACTACTGACCAGCTCTCCTGTAGACATATTTTTCTTCCTTTTTTGGTACTGGGGATTGAACCCAGCCTACTCTAGCTATTCAGCCCTTTCATTTTTTTATTTTGAGAAAGGGTCTTGCTAAGTTGCCCAGACTGGCCTCAATTTCCCTGCTTCAGACTCCTAAGTCACTGGCAGTATAGGTGTGTGCCATCACTCCTGGCCTGGACSTATTTTTCTGTAGATATGTAATATACTCAGTCAGGTTTCTATTCAAGTCTGAGCCATCTGATCCTTATATATCTCTGTTCCACTCCATTAATGGAACAGAGATGTTGGTGTTTCTCTCTCCTATAGCCATCTTTTAAAAAATTGTTTACCAAAAATTTAAATTCTGAAGGGAGGGACAAAGCTTCACAATCACCTYAAGAAATGGAGACAAATCTCATAGTTGGCATAGGTCCAGGAGAACTGGGGTATTCAGAGAAGGCTTTGTGAAGAAAGATGAACTTGAGTTGGTTTTTGACAGATTCATAAAACTTCCACAGACATGGCAAAGTAAGGGAATTTTAGATAGGCAAGGAATGAGCATGGTGTGACGGGTATATGGAGAGGCTGCTCTGGCTGGAATGGAGGACTGCTATTATAGTAGAAAAGGCAAACTAGCTAAGTTGGGTGGTTGAATTGGGAGGGTAGAATCAAGATTGTCAGCTTATTAAATGACTCTTAATATTCTAAATCTGCCTATTGAGAAAAGTAATAAACCATCATGTAAGCAAACACTGAGTCTACATATAGTGCTTTTATCTTTTAGCCCTCTCCTTTTACCCCAGGGTAATGACTGCTGCTTGAGAGTGAAGTCATCTCTTGTCATTTCAGTAATAAGGAAAGAAATCAGTGGTAGAATGAGAGTACATCAAAACTTTACAAAAATGAGAGTAACAAATTGTGGACATGGTTTTGGGTTGGACAAATTTTGCTACGATGACATCTCTGGCCACATTAGTCTTAATTTCTTAAGAAATTATAGCTTGTTCTCTTGGTTTCAATTTCTCAAAGATTCCCTGGAAATGAAGTTCCTTTAAAAGTCTCTGGGGCTGGGCACTGTGAAGCACACTTATAATCCCAGCTGCTTGGGAGGCTGAGGCAAAAGGATTGCGAGTTCAAAGCCAGCCTCATCAATTTATCGAGGTACTTAGCAACTCAGTGAGACCCTGTCTCTAAGTAAAATACAAAAAAGGGCTGGAGATGTGGCTCAATGTTCAAACACCCCTGGGTTCAATCCCTGGTACCAAAAAGTAAAATAAATAAAAATCCCTAGAATATATTTTTCAATAAAAGAACAAAGCATAACTCAGTGTTAGTGACTGAAGAGAAATGTCAAGTAGTAGGTGGGGAAGGAGCTTTGATTTTCAGGGTATACGTTCTAAATCTATTACAATGATAAGATGTATTCTGGAAACCTGAATTGATTGTTGTCCTTACCTCAATCAGACAGAAAATTATAATCAAAATCATCACCACTACAGTCACAGATATTGCCAAGATGAGTTTGTTGTTATAACCATATCCCGGGACTCCTTTTGTGAGCTAAAAGAAAGAAAAAGAATAATTTTTATTAAGTAAAAAAGAGACTGGAAAGGATGAAAGTTAACTATTCAAAATTTCCATTCTTCCAGGTGAATAGCTTGCAGTTTCTTAAAGAACACACCAAATTTAATATGTTACATCTTATTATCACACATTTTTTTCCTATTATTTGTTTATCTTGTGTGTTAAGTCCACTTTATTCTCTAATGGAACAAAACAGGGATCACTGTCTTGGGCAAAGTTATGTGGCCAAGACAAGATGTGGACTAGAAGCCCCTGGTCTTCCTGCGAATGCTTCAATTGTATAACCTAAATGATGAAAAAGTCTGGGCTTCTTGTTCAATAGTTGCCCTCACCTCACTTGTCTCCTCATGCTCTTTGTTATCACCCTGGGCTTCTGTGCTCTCATTGATATAGTTCTCAGTTTTCCACTGGTCCGTATCCCATTCGGCCTTGGACACCTTGATTTCTTGCTGCTCACTGAGAAGCTTCATCAGGAGGCCTGTTCTGGAGATGAGCTTGGCACAGGCCAGTTGCACATAGGGCTCAGAGCAGTCCAATTTCAAAGTCCGAATAACATGAGAAATGAGCCTTCTCACATCATTGTTGGGGATGAGAGACCGAAGTTGCTGGTTTAGCTGAATTTCAAACTGATCACCTGGGGATGCCGTCAATGGGTTGGATAAGTCTTCAGGCTTGGGTTGTGAGTCAGTGTTCGCGTTGAGGTATTCCCATTGTGTCTCATTGGTTTGTTGAACAGTTGGCATTATGTTGAAAGGAGTCACAGCAGAATCTACAGCCTCTGCAGCAGCGTTTTCATAGGTTGCATTTTCAGAGGTGGGTTCATCCAACACAGTAATGTTTGCTTCAAAAATAGTTTTTTCAGAAGGAATTTTTGCAGTATTGTTTTCTGCAGGAACACTTTCTATAGGTTCTGAAAGAGCATATAATCCTGAGGAAGGATTCTCCTGAGAATTCAGGTCTCCTAAAGATGAAAAGGCCCCTCGTGGGGGGGAATTTATGAGGCTCCTTATTGCAGAGAATGGGGGCCTCTTTGCAAGCATCAGTCTATTGTGCAAATTATCCTTTCTGAACTTTCGACTCACTTTGGCCTTGGGTATTCTGTGGGCTGCAAGAGGGTAAGTTTTATGAAAGCTGTGAGTTTTTTTGGAATGTATGACTGGTTTATCAGCCTTCATGCTTTTAACTCGAGCATTTGCATCTTCTAAAACAAAAAGGGGGTAGGTTAAATCTTTTGTTTTSTTTCTAATCTTAGGCTGTAATTTTGAAATGGCGGAGGTGGGAGATTTGCCCAAGGAGTATTGTTTCAAAAAAGAAGAGACTGCTGCCTTATGTTCATTTGTAAATGAAGCSTCCAGGAGGGAGTTTCCCACTAACTTCCTGGGCCTCCGCACCTTGTGAAGCTGCTCTARTTCCCTTGGGATTGGTCTCCTGAGCCTGCCTTCTTGGGCAACATTCTCCGCAAGTGCCTGGGAACTCTGTTTCCTTCCCATACTCTGTTTTCTYATTTCTTTGAAGTGTCTTTTCCGTATGCCCTTTGGCCCCTTGATGACTCTGTTCACACTCCGCAGCCTTTTCTTTCTACTCTCAATCTCTGCTAGGCTGTTTTCCTGTGGTTGGGCAGTTTCCAATTTCTTTTGAAAGATTTGGCGTTTAAATTTGGGACCTAAAAGCCTAGATTGCATAAGCATGGCAGTTTTTTCTTTTTTTTTCACCTCATCAATTTTTTCCTGAATTTCTGCATCTAACAAATTTTCCAGAAAATAAAGCTTCTTTAATTTGTTTTTATAAGTTGAATTGTTGGATGCAGTTGAAAGAGAGGAGTTATTTGTATTGTTCTTCAAATATTCCATGGCATTACCTCCATCTTGTACGTTTGAAAAAAGYAGTTTAATGAATGGTAATAATGTTGACTCTACATCTTCTAGATTTCCCTCTGAGAAATATGGCAATATGTAATTTAAKGCACTTATAACATCACTTTCATCATTGAAGTCTAGCTGTTCATTTAAGAATCCCGAAAAGGTGACACCATTTTTATCTGAAGCTGGCTTTTCAGGCTCAATAGAAAGCTCAGTGCTAGTGTTCTTCTTCCGGGCCTGTAACACCTTCATGAATGATCCTTCTGCATTCCCTACAGATGCATCTTGAACTGTCAAAAAAGAAGAGACTACTTTTGATAACAGAAGACTGATGGACAGCTTTTTGTCAGTCCACAGCCATACATTCCAGCCAAACATTTAAGTGTCATTTGGAAGAAAGAAAAATAGTTTCATAATTAAACCTATGAAATGGCAACAACACAAAGGAAAAAAAGACATCTTTTTTGACAAAGTGCTACTTAACTCAGAATATTCCACACTGTATATAAGAACTCTGTTTAGGACAGCCAATTGCCCAATACTCAATAAAAGCCCAAGACTAGAAGARAAATATTCATGGGCTCTGAGAGATTCTCTACAGATCAGCTGTGTCTCCTTACATTTACATACCCCATGCTGTCCCCGCTCAGATACAGAGGGGGCAGAAGGCTTCCTCTATCCACCTCTTCAGTGTGTCATGTTCCTGCCACCATCACAGATGATCATGACAAAGGACATTCTTCCAAGGAGAATAAGAACCAAGATGCTAAAGCACAGGCTCCGCTCTTTCTGTTAACACATCCTCCCCTCATCTGAACATGTCCTTTMCACCTACTCACCCAGTTCCTTCACCTGGCCCCTGTTCCCCATACATCTTAGGCTCCATAACAGATGCCTCTACACAGAAAAAAAAACCAAACAAACAAACAAAAAAAAAACAAAAAAAAACACACCCCACCATATCCATACTGGTTCTTTCCCTAAATTAAGGCAGGGATCTGGGATGTGAGTTAAAAGATTTTTTAATTTGCYTGGTTCTATGCCTATGCTGAATGTGCAATAAATCTACAGAATAACAGCATTTTCTGGATAAACAATACTTGAGGTTCTGAAGTACAGTAATGGAAAAGCTATTTTTGTCAGAAGCCTTCCCTRTTTTCATATTAGATGTGAAAACTAGCAATTCTAGCTCTGGGAATCATCCAAAGCTTCTAACTACATGAGGTCAAGTGTACCAATGTGTAGCTGGATTTTTCATTTTTCCTTTTTTTGGTACCTGGGATTTGAACCCAGGGGCACTTAACCATTGAGCCACACCCCCAGGTCTTTTTTATTTTTTTATTTTGAGACATGGTCTCACAAAATTGCTTAGGGCCTCACTAAGTTAYTGAGGCTGGCTTTGAACTTACAATCCTCCTGCCTCAGCCTCCCAAGCCACTGGGATTGCAGTCCACCATACCCAGCAATAGCTGGTTTCTTTCCCAGGAGAACTAAAAGTATTTTTTGTGTGGTGAGAGTCAAAGAGGAGGTAAGGYTGGAGACAAAAGAGGAATGTGGGTTAGAATTGGGTACAGAAGACCTGGGTTCAAGGATATAGCACTTGACACCTCCCATCTTGTTWTCCTTATCTGTAAATGGAGATGAAAAATACTTGTTCTGCTCACCTCTGGGGAAAAAGGAAATAATGTAACTGGTGAAAAATCATTTTGAAAAATAAGTTATATGCATGTATTAAGTAGCAAAGTACTATTAGTTATAATTTGCCCAAGATCACTGGTAGAGACCTATATTTGAGCTATTTGGATATGAAAGCAACCACATTTTGAAAGTCATGAGATTAGTGCTAATAAACCTAATACACAGAAAAACATTTGAAAACACATGAATTACCTGAGGATAGAAAAGTTTGAGATTAAGAGAAGTTCAGAGTTGGATGGTCTAGGTACAATTTATTATAGAATCAGAAACTCCTAGACTTCAAATAAAATATTTATTCTCTTTTATAAAGTTGCACAAACAGATCAAAATAGATTGATGCCTGCCCTATAAGGCAGAGGACACTTGAGACCTAGTGTATAAAAAAACAGTTTACTAACTGCATTGTACTATATGAATAAGTTATCACTGGAAGACAAAGTACCAAGCAGAAAGCACAGGACACCATGTGGGGCCATTAATATTATTCCTTCTCCCTTCTATTCCTTTCTCTTCCATCCTTAGGCATATGGAATAGCTATATTATTAAATTATAGCTGAAAACCTCACTTTGAGCAAGAGAGCAATCCAGAAATTTAGGGAGTTGAATTCTAGATAAATAAATAAAAATAAAGCAGTTTCATAATTAGTTTGAAAAATCTATGATCACCAGTTAAAAGTTGAATAACAAAACAAATAAAAGTTAAGACATTTCTCATCAGGCAATTCAGACTCACGGCAACGTGTATTGTTTGTCCGACATGCACTGTCACATCGCAGCTTCACTGTCTTGCAGACAACTTCAATATTATTTTTAAACTGGCAGAGGCAGCAGGCCAAATGGCTAGGTAAGATCCTATAAATAGAAACACAGAGGATTAAGTTAATGAAAAAGGAGATACTTGAGTAGTAGAAGAACAGTCCAAGGCTACCACAGGACAGTGTAGAAAGGAGTTCTTGATACATATAGCCTGGACAAGTTGGATAGAAACCAATGGTAAACTGTTTTTTTAATTATTATTTTTGTACCAGGGATTGGATCCAAAAGTGCTTAACCACTGAGCCGTGTTCTCAGCCCTTTTTATTTTTTGAGACAGGGTCTTACTAAATTGCTTAGGGCCTTGCTAAGTTGCTGAGGCTGGCTTTGAACTCATGATCCTCTTGCCTCAACCTCCTGAGCAGACAGGATTATAGGCATGTGCCATGGTGCCTGGCATGTGGCTCTTGAATACTGTAAATATATAGGAAGGAGGAGGGAGATGCCMACCAGAAAGGAAAGCATGGCAGTGGGTATGGAAGGCCTAAATAAAAAAGAAATTAGAATTGGGTGACAGTAAAAACATCTCCTTTCAACTTAAAATCTTGCTCTGGGTTAGGAGTGCACAGAAAGATAGAATTCTAAGAAGGATCTGAATAAGTCTCCAACTACTGGAGTCCATATCTCAATTCCGTTTGAGAGTGGTAAATGGTAGACATTATCCTGGGCATAAACAATAGCTTAGTWTAACTCACATTGTGTGGTTAAACAACAATAGAGATCACATTGGCCAAATCTGGACACTTTGACATGTAAAAGCATAAAGAGAAGAAATGTGCATAAAAATAAATATTAAATATCATCAGCTATTAAAGAAATGCAAATTAAAACCACAATGAGATACCACTACATTCCTACTAGTAGAAAGGCTAAAAAAATATTATTCCTTGAAACAAGGAATAACTTGAAACAAGGATTGGATGAAGACATGGAGAAACTGCAACTCTTCTATTCTGATAGTAGATATGCTAAGAATTATGCTAAGTGAAAGAAGCTAAAAATCTACTACTAGRTGATTTTATTTATAAGACATTCTGGAAAATTTTAAACTATAGRGAAAGATAAAAGATTTGGTGGTTTGTAGGGGCTGGTGGTGGGAGGAGTGGATGAATGCAAAGCGATGTAAGGGGCTATTTTGGGGATGACAAATGTTCTATATCATCAGGTGGTGGTAACTATATTACTATACATCAAACTGTACGCTTACAGTGTGAATTTTATTACATGAAAATTATACCTCATAAAGTTAAGAAAAATAATGTATTAAAATAATTTTAAATTCAAGATATGAAAAGAGACCTAAAAAAATCAAGTAAAATAAATCTAAGAAAAAAAATAACTTACAGTTTTTCCAATTCAAGAGTCATCAGGAGGATATTCTCAATTGTCGAAAGCGATACTTGAGTTGTTCCCATGTCTCTRAAAGAGAAAGCCAAGATATTCATGATGAACCCCAATAAATATTCTATACTTGAAAAAATATTTCAAGGACATGTGATAACTTCTATTTTGGCTTCTCATAAAACAAGCTGCCTTAAGAGTTTATTTCGCAAAGAAGATAATTCCATAAAGCTCTTATTGAAGATAMGTAAGTTTACTATTTGCACCATCAAATAATGATCTTGGCATTGAAAAATAGAACTTACTTCTTTTTTAAACCATCATCTTACTTCTTATTTTCATATTGCATCATTTCTTTCTTTTTTTTAGAWRTAGATGGACACARTATCTTAATTTATATATTTTTATGTTGTGTCGAGGATTGAAYCCAGTGCCTCACGCATGCAAGGCAAGCGCTCTACCACTGAGCTACAACCCAAGCCCCTCTTTTTTTCTTTTTTAAAAATAATATACATGTATTCCTMTTTGCTTTCTGGGATAAATAATATATTCTTACATGTGTTTACATGTTCCATATCTGTAAGTGTTCTTTAATATGGCTGCCTTCTTCTGATGGCTKTCTTGCCCCATGATATATCCTTCCTTAACTCTTCTTTACCATAACATTTTTCTCCAGTAACTAATTAAAATTAAAATKATGACTTTTTAGTATTAATACAAAATACTTAACCCTTTGATGAAGTAAACAAGAAGAGCAGAAATCATATCTTGAGTTTAAAATTGTTGTAATACTTACAGATATTTTAATGCTGGCAATTTAAAAAGATATGAATCTTCAACAGTTGTCAGAGGATTACGACTGAGAATTCTGAAACATGCAATGGAATTAAAATTATATTTTCAACATGCATGAGACTACTTTTTWATAAAGAACTTATATGTTTAAAAAATATTTTGTCTTTATATATAAATCACCCTTAGAATTTTATAAGGCACTTTTTTATTTGGGAATTRTCCAGCTCTCTAGAAGATAAAGTGGAAAAGAGAAAGAAAAAGAAAAAAGGAGGGGAAAAAAGTGAACACAAAGAAAAAAATATGGCAAAGAATTTTCAGGTCAAAAACCCTAGAAGTAACTATACTAGTAGGAAGCCCTTGCCCTATAGGAAACAGTATTTTTAGTGCCTTCCATAGTTCAAGGTGTTTGTCTTTCATTTTTAGAAATTTAAAACATTTCATGGTCTAATTCACTTAGTTAAGAAAAAATATAGAACCAATTCCTTGGCTTGGAAGTCAAAGGAAAGAGGATAAAGTTTTAAGCAATGGAACTGGTAGAAGTCATGCTCCCAGCACCTACTGTCACTGGTATTTTTCTATCACTTCAGAGCCTTTTCCCATAGCATGTAATCACCTGCTGACTTGTCAGTCTCCTGGCAGGGAGAGGGCAGGGATCTCATGTTACTATCATTGTCATTCCTGTGCTGGGTATAGTGCTGCAAATTTTCTAGGTATTAATAAATGTTTGTTGAATAAATAAATAACATTATGTTTACATGTAAATAAAATGAATAAATTCTCTCTTTTTGAGATGGGATCTCACTATGTTGCTCAGGGTGGCCTTGAACTCCTGGGCTCAAGTGATTCTCCTGCCATAGCCTCTGGAGAAGCTGGGACTATAGGAATGTGCCACAACACCAGAAATAAACTTTTTTTTTTTTTTTTGTATGCAGGATTGAACTAGGGGTACTCTACTAGTGAGCTATATACCCAGTTCTTCTTATTTTTTATTTTGAGACAGGGTCTTGATAAGTTGCCCAGGCTGGCCTTGAAACTGCTGAAGCGTGCCTCAAACTTGCAATCCTCTTGCCTAAAGCCTCCCAGTGTAAATTTATTTTTTATGCAAATGTTTACTTTAAAATACTGARAGATATTTCTTCAATTCATTAAAGCAAGCAAACAGAAAACAAAAAGACAAAAGAAATAGGAAAAAAGAAAAAGAAAANATTTTTTAATATTTATTTTTTAGTTCTCGGCGGACACAACATCTTTGTTGGTATGTGGTGCTGAGGATCGAACCTGGGCCGCACGCATGCCAGGCGAGCGCGCTACCGCTGAGCCACATCTCCAGCCCAAAATTCCCTCTTTTTGAGATGGGATCTCACTATGTTGCTCAGGATGGCCTTGAACTCCTGGGCTCAAGTGATTCTCCTGCCATAGCCTCTGGAGTAGCTGGGACTATAGGAATGTGCCACAATACCAGAAATAAACTTTTTTTTTTTGTATGCAGGATTGAACTAGGGGTACTCTACTAGTGAGCTATATACCCAGCTCTTCTTATTTTTTATTTTGAGACAGGGTCTTGATAAGTTGCCCAGGCTGGCCTTGAAACTGCTGAAGCTTGCCTCAAACTTGCAATCCTCTTGCCTCAGCTTCCCAGTGTAAATTTATTTTTTATGCAAATGTTTACTTTAAAATACTGAAAGATATTTCTTCAATTCATTAAAGCAAGCAAACAGAAAACAAAAAGACAAAAGAAATAGGAAAAAAGAAAAAGAAAAWCTGACTTTAGCTTAACTCTACTCAAGAATCATTAGTGTATTCCTACAGAACAATTTTTTGGGGGGTCACCAGAAATAGTACCCAGGGGAACTTAACCACTGAGCCATATCTCTAGCCCTTTTTATGTTTTGAGATACAGCCTCACTAAGTTGCTAAGGCTGGCTTTGAACTTGTGATCCTCTTGCCTCAGACTCCTGAGCTACTGGAGTTTCTAGGAATGTCTTACTGAACCTGGCTAGAACATTTTTTTAGTTGTTTCTTTATAATWATTCAYAACATTTTAGGAWTCAKTTTAACATAATTATAAAAGCATGTAATATAATTTGCTCTAATTCGGTCCCTAGTACTCCCTGTTCCCCCTCTTCTCCTTCCCCCTGTTYTCTCCCTTCTACTCTATTGATCTTTCTGCTATTTACTTATAGTTTTTAAGAATAATTATTGCAGCTAACATCTATTAGGCTGCCAGGCATCTATGATYAGCATTTCATATTTAATCCTCATAATAAGCTTATGTGGTAAATGTTATCATTACCCCATTTTACAAATGAAGAAACTGAGGCACAGAGAGGTTATATAACTTGTCCTAGGGCCACCAAACTTAGTAAGAAGCAAAGCTGGAATTTGAACTCATTTCTGACCCCAAAGCCCATATAAAGAAAAAAAAAAGGGGGGGCGGTTAAGACAGAAGACAGATGTTACTTTAACCTTAGCTTTGAGAGAACTAAATTCAGAAATGCCTTGGTAAACTTCATCTGCTCATCTGGAAAAGTTTATGAGAATTATACTTTTACTTCTTTTCCCTAATTATTTTCCATGATTAAATAATTAGCCCACAGAACTGAGACTGTAGAGATTTAAAACCTTTTTATAGGTGACATCAGTGAAAATTGGTGGAGTAAGGATATCTGAAAATACATCCCTCCACAAAGGCAACAACAACAACAAAATGGCAAAATGGTCAAAATCACTTTTTCCAGTGTTCTGGAAATTTAATCAAAGGCTTACGGCAAATTAAGAAGCATTTATTCCAGAAAAACAGCTGAATTTCTATAAGAACAGTGAGATTTGTGTTGTTCTTCCATTCCTCACTCTCTAGCTCAGTGATAGCTTTGAAAAATAGCCCAGCTGGGTGCGGTGGTGCACCCTGTAATCCCAATGGCTCAGGAGGCTGAAGCAGGAGGATCATGAGTTCAAAGCCAGCCTCAGCAAAAGCGGGGTGCTAAGCAATTCAGTGAGACCCTGTCTCTAAAAAAAAATTCAAAATAGGGCTGGGGGGTGATAGGTGGTTGAGTGCCCCTGAGCTCAATCCCCAGTACCCCAAAACAACAACAATAACAACAAAAAGCTCTTAAGATAAAATATAGGAGTAAATGCTCACGACCTTGTTTTAGGTAAAAGTTTCTCAGGTATGACACCAAAAGTATAAATAACCAATGGAAAAATTAGGTAAATTAGATTGTATCAAAATTTAAAACTTTTATGCTTTGAAGGACACTATTAAGAAGGTGAAATGACAACTTATAGAAGGGGATAAAATATTTATAGATCATATAGCTGATAATACACAGAATACCCAAAATGTATAAAGAACTCTTATAACTCCGAAAAAAAAACAACTCAATTTTAAAATGGGGAAAGTCATGAATAAACATCTCTTCAAATAAGATATGTAAAGGCCAACATGCTCATGAAGAGAATGCTCAGTTTCTCAAGTTATTAGGAAAATGCAAATTAAAACCACAAGATACTACTTTATACTCATAATGTTATGAAGAGAAAGACTGGTTAAGCATTGTTCCTTAATCTAAGGCTTTAAATAAAAATAAGATAATAACAAGTGTTGACAAAAATACAGAGAAACTTGAACCCTCATACTTTGTAGCTGGGAATGTAAAATGGTGAAGCCACTGTGGAAAACGGTCTGGGAATTCCTCAAAAAAGTTAACTATAGTTACCACATGACCCACCAATTCCCTTCCTAGGTATGCACCCAGAATTCCCTTCCTAGGTATGCACCCTAGAATTAAAAACATGTGTCTACACAAAAACTGGCATTATTCATAATAGCCTCAAAGTAGAATCATCCCAATTAATGTTTAGATGAATTGATATAATGGTACATCTATACAATGGGATATTATTCAGCTGTAGAAAGTACTGATAACTGGGCTGGGGATGTGGCTCAAGCTGTGGTGCGCTCGCCTGGCATGCATGCGACCCGGGTTCGATCCTTAGCACCACATACAAACAAAGATGTTGTGTCTGCCAAGAACTAAAAAATAAATATTAAAAAATTCTCTCTCTCTCTCTCTCTCTCTCAAAAAAAAAAAAAAGAAAGTACTGATAACTGTTTCAAGGGTGAACCTAGGAAACAATAAACCATGTGAAAGCCAGATATAAAAGGCCATTACAATATAACTTGTCTATGTGAAATGTCCAGTATAGGCAAATCCAGAAGGACAGAAAGTAGTGAATGCCAGGGACTGTGGGGAGAAAGAAAGAGAAAGTGATAACTAACTGGAACCATGTTTCCTTTTGGAGTGATGGAAATGTTCAGGCAGATAATGGCGATTGTTGCACAACCTTATGAATGCACTGAATATCCTGAATTGTGCTTTGTAATGTTGCTTTTTTGTGGTATGTGTGTTATATCAATTTTCTTATTTCCATGTTTCCCCATTCACAAGACAGAGCAGGCACAGGGCCTGGATTGAAATGTACATGGGGTCGGTTTATTCTGCTCCCTCTTTCTGTACAGTTAATGTAAGAACACAGCCTGTAGTAAGCAAGAGGAGGGAAAAGAACCATATTTTAATGTATAGAACACCAACTGCTATAAGCCTAATCATGTCAGTAGATGGAATAAAGAGGAGTGACATTTCATACTCTTCCATGACTAAGGTCAAAGTGACTAACTGGTGAAGCCAGCAGCCACATAGCTTATTCTTGCCTAGTGCATTTTTCCAGATATTTTTCAGTCTCATTAACTTGCCCAATTTATAACACTAGTTGTGATGTTATGAAGACAAAAAAATTTGAATGACACAGTTTTGTTCCCAAACTTGGGCTTTAAACATTCTCTGCCATGAGTTGGGGCATTAAAACCTGTAAGGTGGCTGGTGTGTTCTGTAAAAGTAAGCTCCCTTTCCACTAGCCTTTAAGAATGACTGTAAAGCAATATGTAGCCAGAAGAATGTAGCAAAGTTTGTTATTATCTTTCCTTTAAAATGATCTCAGTTCTTCAGTGCTTCTCTTTTTTAGCAGTTCACACATGGCTTTGTGCCCTTCATCTCAGCATTTCCTCTCAACAGG